GGGCTCAGCCGCATTCCTCGCGGCCCCGAGCGCAGGCGGGCGGGGGGGCATCCTCCTCCAGCGCAGCCCGTGACCTTTGCAGCCGCCCACGCGTGGGGCTGCCCGCGACAAGGGCGGGCGGGGGGAGAAGTGCGGCTGCCCTCGCCCTGGGATCATTCCCCAGCTGCAATTTCCTTTCTGGACGCCGAAAAGGGCCTTGCTGAAAGCCCCTGGGGCGCTGCCCCGGGCGCCACCCGCTCTCAGCCTCCCCACCAGCTGGGCTGGCCGAGGCAGGAGGCTGGGGGGTGGCTAGCTATGACCAAGAGAGGCAGGGGATGCCAGCAGGATGGATTTGGGGAGTATCCGATGCCCCAGACCCACGGGAGGATAGTTGCCCGGCAGTAGAGCCGCACAGACTGGATGATTACCTTCGGCTCAGTCACATTTTGGGAATTGGGCTTGGCCCAATTGAATCTGGGACTGATTTGGCCTTGATAAAGATTAAAGAAAAAAAAAAAATTAGGGTACAAACTATGCAGCATCTCTTCGGAGGGCAAAGTGTTGCCTCCTCTCTTCGGCCCCCCGCCCAGCACTGACACTTCAACCGCAGTCAGCAGCCAGGAAAGATTAATTGTGCCCATTCTTTAACCATTTCCTTGGGTAATTGTTTTGAATGTACTGGACACGCCAGGCATTGCCAGAGGTTTCCAAATTCGAAACGGCTTTTCAGTCAGCTCCTTGTGTTACCCGACGCACAGGACGCAGCAAAAAGCGCTGTCGCGATAAATGCTGTGGCTGGAGCTTATTGTGATGGGAGGGAAAATGTCTTGCTGTACAGGAGCATCCTCAAAGAGCAGCGGCTCGGTTGGGCAGGCCAGACTGGGTGTCAGGCACCCTCAGGAGAGACACAGGAGGCCGCCTGTGAGACTTAGTTGTTTTTTATTCCCGCACGGTAGAGAGAGGGCTGATGCTTGGCTCTATGAGGTTGGCCTTATCCTTAAGTTAAAGGGCTGCAAGTGCAGACCCCCTGATACCATCCTGTGTCCAACCCACACCCCAAGTACTACAGCAACCAGTGCCTGTGCCCGGGCAGGGCCCCCTGAGTCAATGAGCCTGCAGGCACAGAAAAACACCTAGATCTCATTTTTCCAAGGTGTTGGGGCCCCTGAAATTAATGGGAGCCAGAGGGACTCAGCACCTCTGAAAATCAGACCCAGAAACCTCTTTGTGCCTCAGTGATCTCATCTGTAAAACAGGAATAGCAATAGCTTGTAGCTGTTGTGAGGAACAAGTCCTGTAGTGCCTGCCAAATGCTCTGAGATCCTGGACACCAGGGAAGATGTTATGTAAGTGCAAATCATTATTTTAATGGCTTTACATTTTATTTTTTAAAAGGAGAGGAGTGTTTTACAATTAAAGGACTCCTACTAGGACACATTTATCAGCTATAATGAACTCCATCTTTCATTCTGGTTATTTCTTAACAACTTCAGGTTGTCTTCCTGGAACAGCACAATGTGCACAGTGGGTTTAGCAAGTTCAAGAAACCAATGGTAAGCTTCCTGATAGCAAGATACCACCTCAAAGGAAGGAAAAGCATGCCAAGAACACCAGGCAAAAAGAGCAAAAAATAAAAGCCAGTCACTGAGCTAGAAGCACCAGATAATAAAGGCTATTCTGATAGCAACAACCTTCCTTCTTCACCAGATTGGAGAAGGGGATAGGGAGACAAGTAGGAAAATATTTTCTTCTTTCCTTTCCTGACTCTAAATGCACTTCTGCTTCCATCTCCATCAGGAGTTCTCAAACTTTTTCCAGTTTAGACAACATTTTAATATGGGTATTTTTTCTCCTAGACAACTCCCCACCCATTTGCAATCACAGCATCCCTGTGGCAGCAACAGCAAATGCTGATGTAGGAAAGGAACCATTAGCAGCAAAGTATTTGAATGTCCTTTTAGCTGTCTTTCAAAGCAACGGGGAGAGCCAACATCAGGTGACCAGTCCTCTCTCAGCAGAGACCAGAAAGTGCTCTGCAGATCAGCAGCAGTTCATGGACCACAGTTCAGGAGCCGTCTGCTTAATAATTAAAGTGCACAGAGGTGCCAAACCTGCAAGCGCTTACTAAGCAGCATCAAGCTTAGTCCCACTGAAGTCAAAGAGACTGCCCAGGGAAACCAGTGCTTCCTCCAGCAGGATCAGGACTTCGCCCACGACAGTTTACTACTTGTCAAACAGAAACTGAAAAAATGCAAAGTGATCTAAGCAGTGTCAGTAGGTTCTATGTTGTGAAAACTTTTTTGGACCCAGCATAAACTACTACTTCAGGAGCTCAAAGACGTACGTCACAAATATGGATTATATTGATGGGTATTGACCTATGCAGGCCAGATGATGCATAAATTATTCTAAGCCACTTTCCACGTGAAGGAGCATAGACGTGTGTGTGTGCCTGTACACACACACACACACACACACACACGGAATCATTTAAATCCTAGTCTGCTCCCATGTAAAATTATAAAGATTCTGCACTTTGAGAGATTGACCCTTGTGAACTCATAAAGACAAACTAAGGAGAATGATCATCTCTTCCAGAGATACATTTAAAAATTGTAAAACAGCAGGTGTTTCCACAGTTCTCACGATAACAGATGTGTGAAGTTACAATCATGCATTCAACTCATAATTCAGCTCAGCTCTACACACCAAACAAGGTTTTCACGGCTGATACGGTACACCCACCTATGTCCCTAGTAACCCCATGCCTAATTCCTTCGCTCTACACACTTATGATGACATTCTTTTATTTGTGACATCAACCTCTGTGCCGCGAAAATGCTGATGTCGCACACCAGGAGATTTTTTTCAAGTCCCCTGATCTACCAAGACAAGAGGCTGAAAGTGCGGTGAACTCCAAGTTAAGCAAGGAGGAGTGGGGAGAGAGAGATGCAAGAATAGGGACCGCTACCAAGGATATAAAAGTTGGATCTGCTGCTCCTTCTCCAGCTGATCTAAATGATTCCACTAATGCTTTGCAGGGGATGAGTATTTTGAGCCAAATCATCATTTTTTTTTTCTTTTGCCCCTTTGCTCCCCCCGCCCCAATCCCACCCCCAGTTGCAAATATAAAAAAATTAAGTGGCGCGGGGAACCGCTTCGCCATTGGCATTGCTGGGATATTTCTCCCGGACAAGCAAAGAGAAGAAGCAGGGGTGGAAGGCACCCTGAGAGGTCCCTTCATCCAACCCAGGAAAGGTCTCGTGTCCCGAGCGGGGATCGAACCTGCGTCCCCGCGGTCCTGCACCAGGCTCTGCCCGCCTCCTGCCTGCAACTCCCACACCCTGCGGCGGCGGCAACTGCGGTGCCCTTCTTCTCCCCCCTCCCCGTGCCCGCAGCCAAGCTCCGCCGGCAGCCCCGGCTCCGCCAGCCCCGAGCCCGCAAAGACCCGACTCCGCGGCCGCATGGAGGGAAGGGGAGACGGGAGGGTGGGGGGTCTGCACCGCAACCCCGCGCTGAGCAATCCTCTTACCACTGGAGACGAGATGCGGCACCCGGGGCAGTCGCAGATGGGGGGATGTACCTGTAAGATCCCTTTGGACATCAGAGTCTTCAAACTTTTCCCTGGATGCGGGAGGAGGAGGAGGAGAAGAGACGGTTAAGGAGGCGCTTCGGCCACCCGGATAAAAGGCAGGCGGAAAAAAAAAGCCGCTTCCCATGCACATCCCCCCCCCTCCCTCCCCCTTGCACCTT